AATCGGTAGCAGCTAGGTGGGTCAGACTGGCGGTGGCGGCGGGGTCGCCGGAGTCGGCCATGGCCCGGGAGGCGGGCGGGCTGGCGGAAACGAAATGTATGCGGTTGTCGGTTGGCGCGCGGCTAGCGTTTTTTACATCTCCTGTAGGTGGTGATCTATATTTGTATCGCCGGAGGCAGAGATGTATCTAAAAAAAATCATCTACATCATTTTTTGGAGAGGGGGTTCTGGGTCTCGGAGATACAAAAGTTAGTTATTTTTGTATCTACATCTTCTATTGAAGGTGCTCTTATATTTAAAAATGAAGGGAGTATAATTAAACCATTCTCACGGCAAAAACTAATCCTTCTTTATTCTATAATTGACCCATAATCTCACTGTGTCGCATGTACTCTAATATTATAGCAAGAAGGCCGGTATAATTTCAAAAGAAATCAATAAATTGGTTTAGTTTGAAAGAGTGCAAGATTTGATCGACTGCACAAATTGTTGAAATTCATGATAAATTTGAAATCCGTCAATACCTTCAAAATCAAGTACGTAATTTTGAAATTCATTTTTTTAATTCCAAACAAGTTTTAAAGGAGCAAATAACAAGAAAAAATAGCAGCTCCCTGCCCGCATATGAGCCGGCCCAAAGCTCGCATGGGGAAGTGGGGTGCGCGTTTCATCAGTTTTTCTCGCATATGTCAGGAATATAGGGGGTCCCTGCATCCATGTTGAGTCTAGAATTTGGGCCATGACGGATGACAAATTTAAGTAACATTGTGCTGGGAGAATAAGATTTCGTTCGACCTTCAGAATTGTGAATTTGTAAACTCCCTTAATTAATTAAAATCACAATTTTTTAGCCCTTTTAAAAAAGTTTAGGTGATAGGAAACGCATAAAAGATGACTGTATCCCATCTTGTCGCATCGGTGTCATCCTACTTTCTTTTAACAAAATATTAATTCTTCACAAATCTGATTTTAGTCCAAGGAAACAAAAGGGGAAACTTATGAAATCAACCAGCTAGCGGAACTTTCGGCCGGTCGCATCGCTTATTATTTCAGCGTCGATATTCATTGCTAGTTTGGAGCATGTTAAAAGATTCTTGACAAGGATTTTATAATGCCAAATCTGATCGGCCTCACATTATTGATGGTGATGGTGGCACAATAACATCCTTATAACCCGAGAACTTTACAAAGAGCGCAACACCATACTTTTTAGCAATAAATTCTCATCGCCGACTATTATCATCTCACACATCCACTTCGAGTCTATAATTTGGGCCACGACATGCGCTGAATTTAAGTAATATTATGCCGGGAGAATTAGATTTGTTCCACCTTCAGGCTTGTGAATTTGTAAAAATATCTTAATTATTGAATATGCAAAAAAAAATGCCCTCTAAAAAATTTAGGTGATGGGAAAGGAATAAAAGATGATTTGTTTCGTCCTGCCATTTTGTAACAAAAAATTTAGTTATTCACATAGCTGATGTGGTAAACATTGATTAGGTTGCCCAGAGCTCCCATCACATTGTGATGGTATCCTTGAAAGAATTCAGACCCGCAAAAATGCAAGTTTTTTTTCCACGGCTCATCCTCAAAATAGGTTTGGAGGGCGAATAACCTCGCCAAGAGGGCTTGTACAAATTTTGGGCTTTGTGCTTTGTGCCACCACGCCCCAAAAATGGCAGCTCAATTATTATTCCAGCCTCAATACTCATTGCAAGTTTGGAACATGTTAACAGATTCTTGACAAGGATTCGATAATGCCAAATCTTATGGGCGCACATTGTTCATGACGATGGTGGAACGATAACATCCTTGTAACCCGGGAACTTTCAAAGGAGCGCAACATGAGACTTTTTAGCAATAAATTCTCACCGCCAACCATTTTCATCTCATGCATCCACTTCGAGTCTAGAATTTGGGTGACGACATGCGCCAAAATTTCATTAATATTATGCCGGGAGAATTGGATTTTGTTCCACCTCCAGGCTTGTGAATTTGTAAAAATCTCTTAACTATGGAATGTGGCAAAAAAAAATTGCCCTTCTATATTTTAGAATAAGATTTAGGTGATGGGAAAGGAATAAATGGTGATCTATGTCGTCCTGCCTTTCTGTATATAAATTTAGTTGAAGAGAAAATAAAAAAAGCAACCCACAGCGTGTCATGTGGTCATATCCAAGGTGCCTGTGAAGTATGATTGCATATATCAATTTCAAGGTATGAGATTGCTAACTGGACATGCTGCCCGGTGATAGCTTTCTCATCAGACAAGATTATAAGCATGTTCGATCCAGCATACTTAAGCGATATGGTAATAATAATAAACCTACAAGCAGAACCTGGACTCGATCGGGCACTGCAGTGTATCGGGCTGTATCTCGGCCCAAGATGCTGATCTCGCGTGCGTGCGTGGGGCGCCAGGCCAGCCCGGTGCGTTGCCGCGGACGGCTTTGCACAGTTCGGCATAGAACACACCCCTCAAAAAAAAAAAAGGTTCGGCACAGAACACGTGCGGTTTGGCGACTACGGGTTCTTCTCCGGGAAGCTGCCGCTGACGGCTGCCGACGAACTACGGCGACAAGCTGTACGAGCTGCTGCTCTTTCCGTTCGGGTTCGACCTCGCCACCAAGCCGGTGGATCGTCACTAGGAGAGTTTGAGTTTCTTTTCCATTGTGAGAGATTAATTAGTGCCAAGCTGATGAGTGTTTGAGTTTCCTTTCCATTGTGTGAGATCAATTAGTGCTAAGCTGATTAAGTTCGCGATGATCAGTAGGAAGGTCACATGATGGCCCAAATCATACAAGTTGTGCATCGTTTCTTCTGGCATAAATGAATATCAGGCTGAACACTTCCGCTACACCCGGCGCATTTGGTCTCTCGTCATTGAGAAATTCCCCATGCTCGGGCTTGACACTTCCGCTTGGCCCTTCTTTGAAACGGTTGAAGATTGGTGGGCAAGCACTTGCGTCGAAGGAACGCCAGATCGTCAAGCCAAGGCCTCCATCACCATGCTTGTCTCTTGGACAGTTTGGAACGAGCGGAACACAAGGGTTTTTAAGCATACGAGTGCCCCACCGCCAATCTTGCTTTCGTCCATCTTCACCGAGGCAAACCTTTGGGTCATCACCGGAGCTAAGAAATTAGGGTCTTTTATCGCGCGCGAGTAATCCGCATGTCGTGTATTTCGGTGGCTTGTAACAAACTCTATTCTCTCTTACTTAATGGATGAGACAAAGCTTTTGCCTCCGTTTCAAAAAAAAAAAAACGGCCTGAACATTCTTCCTTCTTTGTAGTATTAGCTTTGGCTCTGGTGGTTCGTCTTGAACCACACTTGTAAATAAACTCCTTTTGCAAATTTATCAAAAATTGCAAGGGAGCCCACTGCTTCATGTCAGGAAAAATCTCAAGCTGAACAAGATGTGAAAGGTTCACCACATTTAGTTAGAAGGAATCGTACATACTGACAGGTTTGACAATATTTAGTCAGAATTTTGCAACCTAATGCAGTGTTGAAAAAGGGCCTCGCAAAACAATACGTGGGTTGATCATCTTGATAAAGTGACGACCTTATTATGCAACATATCGAGGAATTTTGCACCCTTTGAAGCTAACATTGAAAGTTCATCTTCACGAGGATTAGTTAAACACATAAAACTTTGTCGCCAACTCCTCCTTGGCAACTGCTCCCCAGCTTTGGCATAAAAAGTGCAGCTCTTAGGAGCCATCAAGGAAAAGCGAAGAGCAAAGCTTGGAAGAATGATTA